GTCCAAGTAATCAATTTCTGTTCACAATTGATCATAATGATAGGACTAAGAACCAAAGGGATCACATAAACAAGACTATTGTCTGCAAACACTAGCTGATAGAATAAAAAAAGAGAAAGAATGATCCAACATGGGAAGTGGGATACACAGCAGACCCATAGAATGGCAGATGTCCTAAACAGCACTCTGGCCTCAGAATAAGCCCTTAAGGCACGCGGATCTGGCTGAAAAGCCCATGAGAGTATTTCAGGCATGGAAAGCCAGGACACTCGGGGTTGGAGGGGACCTAAATGAAAGATCTCCGCGAGTGAGCTCCCAGTGGAAAGAACGGGTCATCAAAGAAGGAGGTACCTTTCTCTGAAGGGAGGAGAGAACTTCCACTTTGACCATGGCCTTGTCTAAATATGATCAGAGTTGGTGAACTCAGGGGGCTTCCATAGCCATGGCAGTTCATGACAAGAGCCTAGGGTGATTACTGATACCATAAACAAGAGTGTCAATTTGTTAAGTCAACAACAGGAGTCACTGTGCACTTACTCCTCATGTAGGATCTCTGTCCTTAGTGTGCTGTACATTGTGATTTAATGCTATAACTAGTACTCAAACAGTATTTTTCACTTTATGTTTCTGTGTGGGAGCAAACTGTTGAAATCTTTACTTAATGTATGCTAAACTGATCTTCTGTATATAAAGAGAAATGAAAATGAATATTGATGTGAATGGAAGGGGAGAGGGAGTGGGAAAGGGGAGGGTTGGGGGAGGGAGGGACGTTATGGGGGGGGGAAGTTATTGTAATCAATATTCTGTACTTTGGAAATTTATATTCATTAAATAAAAAAATCAGTTTTTCTATTAATTTTTGAAGTACCCTTAGAAAATGTTTTTTAAAAGTATTCCTTCTCTTGTTTTCTTGTTTAAGTATTCACTTTTTGTTGGTTTTAAGGATCATGCCAAACAAAATTGTACCCTTAGAGTTTATTATATTGAAAAATTTTAAAATTAGAGGTAAATATTAAAAGAAAACTAATATGAAAAGAGAAATGGTTATACTTCAAAACTCGAGGCAAGAGTCTTCTACCTTAAAGTTCATGTTTGAATAAATTTGGATTGTCCTTTTCTCTGTTTATTTCCTATAATCTCACCCCATTAGGCACCTCTACTGTAAGAGAATGCAAATTAGTAGCTATAAGTTACTTCACTATACTTGTACTTTTAGAAAGTCTCTTCCCTCACTGACATTTTCTTGGTCATGTGACTTTCTCTGGCAAAAGACACAATGACAAATAAAAACAAGTTGTGCATGGGGCCAGCCCTCTCTTGATGCTGGAAACCTTTCCTCAGCCATGTGAACAATTCATACAGAACCCTTAAGGATAGGTGAACACTCTTCAAGGCTCATAGGGCGACAATGTCCAACCTGCCAGCTGGCACTCGAGATTTCTCAGCCTTTCTTTCAATTGACTGAAAGGATCGCTTAAGTCAGCCCAGAAGAGAAGCACCACCCACTTTATCCTCAGAATGAAAAGTGTGATTATTATTTCTGCACTAACACTTGCAGTAGTTTTCACAAAGCAAAATGCAAGTAATGAAGCTAACAGAATTACATTTCAATGAAACAAACTACAAAAGAAGGCAATTTTGTGTGACTGCATTTATCTTACCCTTATGTTTAACTTATATGATTTCTAAAATCTGAATTTGGCAACTTTCCACATTCGCGCACTTATATATTTCATGGGACAAGACAGTTTTTTACCTAAATTTTTGCAGATGCCTTGAACATTATGTACTTTCAATGTAATTACTTGAGTTAAACAAAAAGATGACTAGTTTTGGTTCTGAATTTAAATTTTTAAAATTACAATTACTTTTCTTTAAAAATTTATTTTATTTATTTAAAATCAGTTACAATGAGAGCAAGAGACAGAGATTTTCCATCTGTTGGTTCGCTCCCCAAGTGGTCACAACAAGTTTTCATTTGGTCTCTCATGTGGGTGAAGTTGTTCACTAACCTTATGCAAAGGCTAATTCCAACTGCAGCATATCATAGTGTCTGAACATTTGAGCTTAAGAAGGCCTTAAGTGAGCGTTGCAGGGGGTTTCATATTATAGATGGCACCCAAAGAAATAATCTAGGTGACATTCCTTATGTCCTTGGGAAAGAAAAAAAAAAGTAATAGGACTGTATCTGAGGCATCACAGAAGCCAAAGACCAAGGAGTGGGGGAGTAGTGAAATGAATAAACTGAAAAGAAACACCTAAATGAAATAGAAATATATACACAAAACCAGATAGTATATAGGAAACCAAGTAAAAATACTTTAATAAGACAGGAAGAGTAATTTCTATCAAATTTCATCTATACTACAAAGTAGGATATTACAAGAATCAATACACAGGATGTGTAATTTCTGTCTGGTCTCTCTTCAGATTGACTGACTGATGCCTATACTAATCGGAATAAAGAAAAAAATAATCCAAGCTTTCATAGATTGAGACTATAGGTATACAGTATAGTCAGAGGCCATGGTCTCTCATTGCCCAGAGTTGCAGGTTGACCAGATATTACATAGTAGGGGGCATACTGAAATCTTGGGAATATGATTGGGAAGGAAAAGTAAAGGACTGAGGCCAGCGCCGTGGCGCAGTAGGTTAATCCTCCACCTGCAGTGCCGGCATCCCATATTCTAGTCCCGGCTGCTCCACTTCCAATTCAGCTCTCTGCTATGGCTTGGGAAAGCAGAAGAAGATGGTCCAAGTCCTTGGGCCCCTGAACCAATGTGGGAGACTGGAAGGAAGTGCCTGGCTCCTGGTTTCGAATTGGTGCAGTTCTGGCTGTTGCAGCCATTTGGGGAGTGAACCAACGAAAGGAAGACCTTTCTCTCCATCTCTCCCTCTCACTATCTGTAATTCTACCTCTCAAATAAAATATATTTAAAAGATCTTTAAAAAAAGAAAGATAAAGGACTAGGGTGGATGAAAGGTATCTCTCTTCTCATATCACTATTCCATTCTTTTATGGGAGAGAAACAAGAGAAATGATTTTAAAGCTATTTTCTCTTTTTGATGTTCCCAAAGATTGTTACACATCTCAAGGAAATGAAAATATAAAAGAAAAACAGAGAAAGATTATATGTCTGATGAATTCACTAATCTGTGGACATATAGAACTCTCTAAATGTCTAAAACCTGGCCAGCATGGTGGAGCGTTGGATTAAGCCACTGAATTTGACATCAGCATGCCATAGCACAGTGTTGGTGTGAGTCCTAGATGTTCCAGTTCCAATCCAGATTACTTATAATATGACTGAGAAGACATAAGAAGATGGCTCATGTAGTTGGGCCCCTGTCATCCATGTGGGGACCTGGTTAGAGGTCCTGGTTCCTGCCTTCGGCTTCCCCAAATCCTGGCTATTGTAGCCATTTGGGTAGTGAACAGGAGGATGGAAGATTTCTTTCTTTCTGTCTCTTTCTCCCTCTCCCTGTCACTCTAACTTTCCAGTAAAATATAAATATTTAAAAAAAAACACACAGTGTGTGTTTACTATTGATTCATTTTCGGTATTGTTATGCCATAATACAATTTTAAAAAATCTTTGTACTATGTGGTCAAGTATTGTTTAGTCCAGGAGTTAAGATGTCAAAATTTCACATCAGAATGCATGAATTTAATTCCCAATAATGGTTCCTCACTCCATCTTTTTGGCAATACAAACCCTATGAGATAATGAAAGTAGCTCAAAATAATTGGTTTCTTGTCACCCATATGTAAGACCAGGATTAGGATTGAGGTTCTTGGCCATTGAGGGATTTGAATAGAGAAACAATAGATGGGAGTGCTCTCTCTCTCTCTCTCTGTGTGTGTGTGTGCGTGTGTATGTGTGTCTGCCTTACAATTAAATAAACACCATGTGGTAGGGTTGCTGTAGTCAATTCCAACTCTTCATGAGGTGTGCAGCACTTTCTTTGATGACACAAGTTGGGGAACATCTCACTGAGTAGAAACTACAATTCCAGTCATTGAATACACCCCACTACCAGTGAGTGCATGTTGAATACACCCTACTACCAGTCAGCACATGTTGAATTTGGTGCTCATGAATGCTCTTTCATTTTATCCACAACTTTGCCTACACAATACAGCAGTTGTCAAGGATGACTACATTGGGCCTCTCACTCAAAAGGAAGTTTCACATTACATGATAATACTTAGAAAGAGAATGTGGAAAGTTGATATGATCTCAAATTCCTGTGTTTAGTTTACTTTTTACATAACAAGCAATATTGACAAATTGGACTGTACATGGGCAGTCAGACTGGAGCAAAGTTCTAAGCATGCATAAACATCTCAGTTGTGTATCCATTATTCAAATGGCTCAAAGATGGGAGAAACAAATTACTTGCCTATTTGGTTATTATCTGAAGACCAACTCCTGGCAATATACTACATTATGTGAATAACTTCTAATCTAACCCAAAGTTATTATTGATAGGAAAAATCAGGTTACTCTTTCAGGTGTACGAGAATTTCCAATTATTTTAGAACTAACACACAATTAGTTTAATTCAGATAGCAATTAAGGTGAAATTTGCATAATTAATTTTGAAAATCAAAGTATCAAGTAATAAACAAAGCTTCAGGGGTGTGATATCTCTCTGTTTCTCTATCCATTTATAATGAAAGTTCATTTGTTCCAGTAGGAATTTATAGTTGTGATCACCAGTAAGATGTAGCAGTCTTCAAGCAAATGTTATTGTGAGAATAAAATTCAAAGAGCAATCTAAGCAAAACACTGTGTTTCTAGATAAGAATAAGTAGTACACTGAGGCTTCACTCTATATGAGGGAGTGAGCAGGACAATAGATACTTTATGAATTTAATTAAAGTGTTCAGTATAACTTTTCCACACATATTTAAATTGCCGATTAATAATTGGAATTGGCAAAAACACTGGACTTCGAAGAGCAAAGCCTGGATTCAGGACTTGAGAATTTCTGAGTTACTTTTTTAATCTAAAAATGGCTTTGCAGTTCTTGGAGGAAACATTGTGAGCAATCTCAGCACAGTAGGATTTGTCGCACATCAGCAGCACCTCCAGCTCCTTGACATTGTGGACCAGGAACTTCCGGAAGCCGCTGGGCAGCTTATGCTTGGTCTTCTTGTTGCTCCTGTAGCCAGTGTTGGGCATCAAGATCTGGCCCTTGAATCTTCTCCGCATCCTGTTGTCAATGCCTCTGGGTTTCCGCCAGTTACGCTTAATCTTGACATAGCGGTCAGACTGGTGGCGGATGAAATTCTCGGTCCTCTTTTTGACGAACTTGGGCTTCATCAGGGGTCTGAGAGCAGCCATGATGCCTCGAGCAGAAGGCAGCCACCTCAAGAGGCAGCGCCGAGGAAGAGTAAGATATCATTTTAATGTATGTAATTACTAGGGTTACTTAATAATTTTCCTTTGGTTAGAAAACAGCTTTACAAAATTACCTAGCTTTTGCTAATTGAAATGTGATACAGATACCTCCCCACTTTATCTATGTCACACATTTTTCCTAAATAAATCACAATCCTTGATGGCTCATTTCACTTTACTCCTGCACACTAATCCATTGCCCCCTCCCCCAAGCTGTTTATGCACTGACTTATGTCATGGTTGCTACTAGTTTTATGAATAAAATTACTATAAGTAATTATAGTCCGATTTTTTTTAAGATTTATTTTATTTATTTGAAAGTCAGAGTTACACAGAGAGAGGAGAGGCGGGGGGGGGGGGGGGGGTCTTCCATCTGTTGGTTCACTCCCCAGATAGCCGCAACGGCTAGAGCTGCGCCGATCAAAAGCCAAGAGCCAGGAGCTTCTTCTGGGTCTCCCAAGTGGGTGCAGGGTCCCAAGGACTTGACCTATCCTCTACTGCTTTCCTAGGCTATATCAGAGAGCTGGATCGGAAGAGGAGCAGCCAGGACTAGAACTGGCGCCTATATGGGATGCCAGGTTTCAGGCCAGGGCTTTAACCAACTGTGCCACTGCAGCGGCCCCTATATTTGTTTTTTAGGGGCATTGTTTTTCAAATCATTTGGGTAAATACAACAGCAGATTTGCTGAATTGTTTGGTAGAATGAATTCCTTTTTTTTTAGCTTTGTAAAAATCAACAAACTGTCTTCATGGATGGCTGTAACATTTTGCACTCTAATGAGTAATGCAGGAGAATACCTGCTTTTCCATATCCTTGCCTGAAATCAATGTTGTCAGATTTTATAATTCGGTAATTCTAAGAGAAGTGTAATAATTATTAAGATGTACAACTTTGAATGTCTTCTCCTGTATTTATCAATTGTATATATTTGGGCAATTGCCTATAGATATTTGGGTCATTTATTAATCATATTGTTCATTTTACAGGTTTTTATCATATATAAGTAAGAAGTTCTTCATTGACCACGTATATTTTTCGCAAACATTTCCACAATTTAATGTTTGTCTTTTCATTTTCACCACAGTATTTTTCAGAGCACAAGTTTTTCACTTTTAATGAATCATAAATTTATTCTTTTTTAAGAAAGATGTACTTATTATTTAAAAGGCAGAATTACAGTGAGGGAGAGAAAGGATGAGATTTTTTTTTACAAGAAGAGTTAGACAGTGAGAGAGAGACAGAGACAGAGAGAAAGGTCTTCCTTTTCCGTTGGTTCACCCCTCAATGGCCACTGCGGCCAGCGCAATGTGGCCAGCGCACCGCGCCGCGCCAATCCAAAGTCAGGAGCCAGGTGCTTCCTCATGATCTCCCATGCAGGTGCAGGGCCCAAGAACCTGGGCCATCCTCCACTGCCTTCCCGGGCCACAGCAGAGAGCTGGACTGGAAGAAGACAAACTGGAACAGAATCCGGTGCTCCAACCGGGACTAGAACCTAGGGTGCCAGCGCCAAAGGCAGAAGATTAGCCTAGTGAGCTGTGGCACTGGCCAGGATGAGATATTTATGAAGTTTTTATTATTTTTATTAATACAAAGAGAACAGATTTTATGTATTTCAAAGGTATAGTTCTTTTTTTTAACTTTTATTTAATGAATATAAATTTCCAAAGTACAGCTTATGGATTACAATGGCTTCCCCCCCATAATGTCCCTCCCACCCGCAACCCTCCACTTTCCACTCCCTCTCCCCTTCCATTCACATTAAGATTCATTTTTGATTCTCTTTATATACAGAAGATCAGTTTAGCATACATTAAGTAAAGATTTCAACAGTTTGCTCCCACACAGAAACATAAAGTGAAAAATACTGTTTGAGTACTAGTTATAGCATTAAATCACAATGTACAGCACACTAAGGACAAAGATCCTACATGAGGAGTAAGTGCACAGTGACTCCTGTTGTTGACTTAACAAATTGACACTCTTTTTTATGGCATCAGTAATCACCCTAGGCTCTTGTCAGGAGCTGCCAAGGCTATGAAGCCCCCTGAGTTCACCAACTCTGATCATATTTAGACAAGGCCATGGTCAAAGTGGAAGTTCTCTCCTCCCTTCAGAGAAAGGTACCTCCTTCTTTGATGACCCATTCTTTCCACTGGGATCTCACTAGCAGAGATCTTTCATTTAGGTCCCCCCCCCCCCAGAATGTCCTGGCTTTCCATGCCTGAAATAGTCTCATGGGCTTTTCAGCCAGAACTGAATGCCTTAAGGGCTGATTCTGAGGCCAGAGTGCTGTTTAGGACATGTGCCATTCTATGGGTCTGCTGTGTATCTCACTTCCCATGTTCGATCGTTCTCTCCCTTTTTTATTCTATCAGCTAGTATTTGCAGACACTATTCTTATTTATTTGACCCCTTTGGTTCTTAGTCTTATCATTATGATGAATTATGAACAGAAATTGATCACTGGGGCTAGTGAGATGGCATTGGTACATGCCACCTTGATGGTCTGAATTGGAATCCCCTGGTATGTTTCTAACTCTACCGTTTGAGGTACGTCAGCTTGTATAGTTCTAAGAAGATAACCCTACTCTCTCCTTCTCTCTTCCTCCTTCAATCCTTCTACTTCCTCCCTTTTTATCTTTTTCCTTTAATTTTTGCAAAGACATACTTCCAATCCACTCTATAATCACAGGTTTAATTCAGCACTAACCATAATTTTCAACAAATTAAAAAGTAGGAAGAAAACAGTTGCACAAGAATATAAATAAGAGCTTAAAAATCAGCTGTCATAACAAAAGTTCTTCCATCTGTTGGTTCACTCCCCAGATGGCCGCAAAGGCTGGGGCGGGGTCAGGCCAATGCCAGGAGCCACAAGGTTCAACAGGTTCTCCGTCATGGACAGCAAGGGAAGCAAAATTATTTATGCATGCTAAAGTTATCATTCTACTTACATTATGCAGAATTAATTGTAAAGAGCTACGTGTGGAGATAGACAGGCAAATATTCAGGAGCTGAGAAGATCAGAAATGAGGTGACGCCATTCTAGAATGCTATAATATTAAGGAAGATGGAAATCAGTGAGTGCAGTTGAGTTATTCAGCAAATGAAATCAAGGAGAGTTGGGACATGATTAGGAGACATCAATGAAAGAGCAACATGGAAGACAAAGGAATCCTTTCTTCTTTGGCCAACTCGATGGATTAATATACCATCAGCTGAGCAGATTTGAATGAGATAGATGATCACTTGAACTTTTCAGTTTTCATGTTTGTGAAACATTTGAGGAGAGAACATTCTCTGAGCAGTTAGGTAAGTGGGTTTAAAGCTCAAGAGCAAAATACTGGTAAGAAGTACGTCTTGATACCAGAGCCATAACCAGTAACTAAATCACATGATGTTTAAATGCTTCCAATGTGAAGATGCAGAATGAAGCAAAGAAACTGGCTTTCTTGCAGACTCCTACGTGATTTCTCTACCTCTGTTGATATTATGGTTCTGAAACGCTACTTCTATTCCAAATTGCCATTGGGTCCCAAGGCTCCTCCTTGGTCATTGGTTTCCTAAGCTCTTCATATCTGATTTCATTTTTATGTCTATTTACTAGAAAACACCCATAATCTCCTGTTTCATATGCAGTCCCCATGCTACTAGAACAATCCACAACAGCGCAGTTGACATCTAGTGTGTTTTATGGACTCTGCTATTAGGGTGACTAACCACAATTAGTGGACACGGCAGCAAAATGAGTTTGCTTTCAGTTTCTGATCTTCCTCGGGCCAGAGTCTCAGAGGAACTGCTCACCCCAAGGGAAATGGGCATTGTAATCCCTAAATATTTCAGGCACTCCAAAAAATCAGATTTCTTGACCTCTTCTCATTCAATATATTTCAGTGTTGTCCATTCTCACCAACCTGAAACAATCTTTCCCCTTCATTCCGTGTCACTGATAGCCCCAGAGTTTATTGCTGACTCTCTGTATACTTTGCAGTTTCTTCATGGTTCCTCTCATTCTTTACCTGAAATATAAATCAGTGTTACTATTTTTTTTTACAAAATTCACTTCTTTTATTCTATATTACTTCTTTGAGTTTTCTCATCCATGTGCGTGATTTTCTTTCCTTTCATTGACAACCTTTGTTCAAATATCAAGCCCTGTTGATTTTCCCTACTAAAATAAAACTTAATTCCATTCACTTATTTCCATCTCCCTTGTCTTTATTCTACTTTAGCTGCTGTAATACCTTGTTTTGGCCTTGCAACACCTGCTGGCTTATCTGCTAACTGCTGTTTACTGGTGGTGTTATTTTATATAGTGTTAACATGGTTGCTGCGTCATCAAAAAGCATATTTTTATATCATTATCCAAATATGACTCTCTTTTCATTAGGATAAGTTTCTTCTTCAGAAAATCCTAGCGCTGGCACTGTGGTGCTGTGGGTTAAGCTGCTGCCTGTGAAGCCAGAATCCCATATGCGTGCTTGTTCTAGTCCCAGCTACTCCTCTCCCAATCTGGCTCTCTGCTATGGCCTGGGAAAGCAGTGGAAGACAGCCCAAGTGCTGGGCCCCTGTGACCACGTGGAGTTTCGGAGGAAGCTCCGGGCTCCTGGCTTCCAATCTGCACAGCTCCAGCCTTTGCAGCCATTTGGGAGAGTGAACCAGAAGAAGGAAGGAAGATCTTTCTCTCTGATCCTCCCTCTCAGTATCTGTAACTCTACCTCTCAAATAAATAAATAAAATCTTAAAAAGAAAATTCTACATGATCCCTTCTATACTGAGTAGAATTAGACTTCAGTCTACTTCTGTCCTACTATTAAAAGAAGAGAAGAGAATTACCACAATAGAATAAACCAATGCTTCATCCAATGAAGGTGGGTGTGATATTGCTTTAAAAATATCAGGATTCTGGGGCCGGCACTGTGGTTTTGTAGGTTAAGCACCTGCT